GGGGGGGCGTGGGCGAGGAGGTGGCGGTCCTAGCCGCGGTGGGAGAGAGGCGCGAGGGGCGCGAGGGGTGGGAGGGGCGAGAATCACCGAGGGTCAGCCGTCGGCGTCCGTATCCCGATCGGGACGAACACGGACGCCGACACCCGTCGTGGATGTCTAGGTGTTTTCGGTGAGGGGTGTTTTCTTGTGCTGATANAGGTGGCGGTCCTAGCCGCGGTGGGAGAGAGGCGCGAGGGGCGCGAGGGGTGGGAGGGGCGAGAATCACCGAGGGTCAGCCGTCGGCGTCCGTATCCCGATCGGGACGAACACGGACGCCGACACCCGTCGTGGGTGTCTAGGTGTTTTCGGGAAGGGGTGTTTTCTTGTGCTGATAAACCACATAGTTTCGGGGCAAGGTTATCCCCGAATGGCTTGAAAATGTGTGTGGAACCGGTTTCGAACTGTTTTGTATTCAGTATAGGTCTAGGGTATAGCTTCATGCAACGTGGGTGACAAACAGCACGGGAAGGGGGGACGAGACGGGCGGGCGGACAGTTTGTCGAGAAACCCGGGGATGCTGTGCTTTTTGTCCCCTGGGCTGTGCGTCTGTGTGTTTTCTCACCCAACGTGTTTTCTGAAACCTTCAATACGTTTCTCTTAAACGGCGTCGCGCGGGGGAATGACATGGGTGCAAATTAGTCGCTTGAATATGTGGCATGGTTTTGGCGGAATTTGCTGCCGTATCGTACAAGCCAAAAAATGGGGGTCAAGTACCTATGTTTGGACAGGCATAGCACAGTCCATAGGCACCCGATTATCGTTTTTTTTGTTTTGTGACTTCGAGTAGGATGCGCACTAGAAGTTAATTCATCAAATTGCACGGTTGAGCTGTGTCGCGGCCAAACAACGCGCACTACCCCGAAAAAGGCTATCTTATGCCCTGCAGAATTGAGCCGAAAAACCGGGGATATGGACATTTTGTCCCCGTCTGTGAACCTATGTATTTTTTTTTGTAATCGATTGTTCATTGTACTAAGAGCGTGCGTGCCAAATTTGAGGCCATAAAACTCTTTAGAACCTGCTCAAATCGACCTCTACCGTAAGCTGCCCTTATTGCCCGCACGGCCCTTTCCCCCGCATGTTTATGTGGAAAATGAAGTATACTTCGAGGGCTTCATACCATCGCTACCTCAACTTTTTTCAAGTTTTCTTTTTTCAACTTGTAGGTTGTACTACTAGCTTTCATGTGATGCCTCAAACTCTTCATACATCATCGTGACACCAGAGAACGAGCTGCCGGGGTGCGGGGTGCCTTAAGGTGCCCCTAATACCCTCCGTTACGCTATTTGATTTTCAAAAGTGGAGTGCTGTACAGGAACAGAGCGAATCATCCCCCAGCACTACCGCCGGCACTCTCACACCAGCAGGACGGTTTACACAGCAGGACGGTGACCTCGGCTGTCTGACTAGGGTTAGGGTTACAGTTTCACCGCCCAGCACTTGCTATTTTCGCCTGCTGATACGTTCACGCTGTGCTTATTTTGTGCTTCATGCGAAACAGGAAAACGGTATCAAGGCGGTGCTGTTCCCAAGATCCGACTAGCTATCGGGTTGCGGATGATGGCCGGCGCTTCGTATCTTGATGTCGTCGTGCTGTTCGGCGAGTCCAAGGAGACGGTCTTCAGCATCTTGTGGCAGGTGGTGGATGCCATCAACAGCACAGCAGAGGTCGGGCCGTTCTTTTTTCCGCAGAGCGAGGATGAGTGCCCGGCAGGCGGCAGAATGGGAGGTGCGGACATGATACACTAGTTTACAGCAGCGGGGTAGATTGCATGTTTGCGTTCCAGGTAGGTGATTATGATGCNTGACTAGGGTTAGGGTTACAGTTTCACCGCCCAGCACTTGCTATTTTCGCCTGCTGATACGTTCACGCTGTGCTTATTTTGTGCTTCATGCGAAACAGGAAAACGGTATCAAGGCGGTGCTGTTCCCAAGATCCGACTAGCTATCGGGTTGCGGATGATGGCCGGCGCTTCGTATCTTGATGTCGTCGTGCTGTTCGGCGAGTCCAAGGAGACGGTCTTCAGCATCTTGTGGCAGGTGGTGGATGCCATCAACAGCACAGCAGAGGTCGGGCCGTTCTTTTTTCCGCAGAGCGAGGATGAGTGCCCGGCAGGCGGCAGAATGGGAGGTGCGGACATGATACACTAGTTTACAGCAGCGGGGTAGATTGCATGTTTGCGTTCCAGGTAGGTGATTATGATGCTGTGAACGAACACATGACCGTGTTTGGTGGCGGTTTAGTTTCAACATTACTTCGAATATAGATTACAGTATGCGAACAGACTTGCGTGCGAACATGGCCAAGAACAGGCAGGGCGGCGAAAACGGACAGAAAGGTGTTGTGCTGTGGTATGCTTTCCGGGTCTGGTGTCGGAAGTGCAGTCAACTTCACCTCTTTCGCGGCTACAATATAGGCCTCCTAACATGTATGGTACATAAGCAAGGCACCAATGCTGCAGAGTCTGCCCCAACACAAATGACGCGGATTGCATTGATGCATGCATGTCGATCCTCCGCTGGGCAAAATATCCTGCTTGTCTCGACGCACTGAGTAAGGAGCGAGCGGGAAGCACTTGTGACAGCACCGGGAAACCTCTATATCTTGTGTCCACGTTTCGGCTTGATGCATGGTGAAATGAGCTCCAGTCTACAGGGAATATAGGCACAAACAGTCGCACTTTATTGATTGGCATGTCTAGGAGAGGGCTCGGCTTTAATTGCTCGCACATCCCTGTACGTTTTTTCTGGGGCAGTCGATTGGCTTGCCGCTGCCTGACAATCTAACTTGAACGAATCTAAGAGCGCCTCTGTTGTGTCCCTCCCCGAGTGCCATGTCTGTCCTCAGGAAAAAAGCACGGGCGGCGCCTTTCAAGGTGTGGTAGCTGCGGGGGATGGCCTCTTCGTGAAGACTCTTGCTCCGACTGCCCTCAATACTCCGAACGTTCTCTCGTGTTATTCTGGGAGCAAGTGCGGCTACGGGATGAACGTACAGGCGATGCCAACTACGGGTTGTGCAGCATGTCTTGCATTGCACCCGGCTCGACCAATGACTGGACGGCATGGAACCATTCGGATCTATCCACAGCGGTGAAAAACCTGCCGCCAGGCTTCTACATGCTCGGAGACGCGGCTTACCCCCTAAGCGACCACCTGTTGACTCCGTACCCAGGGAGGGGACTGCCGCTAGACAAAGACGCGTTCAACTTCTATCTGAGCCAACTCAGAGCCAGGATCGAGCAAGCGTTCGGCATTCTCGTCGGCCAGTGGGGCATCCTGTGGGAGCCGTTGCGTGTTCAGTTCGCTGGGCGCTGCGACCTCATCACGGCGCTCTTCCGCCTCCACAACTCTCTCCGGGACGACAAGGTCACACCAATCCACCGGTCGGAAGAAGACGCGGAGGTGGTCCAGCTACGCCCCCACCTACTCGGCGACAAGACTGCCAGGAGCTTTCAGCACGAGCACCACGGACGCGCAGAAACCGACCAGGTCAGGCGAAGTCTCCACGCGCAAGGGGATCACGATGATGCTGGACAACAAGCGCCAGTACCGCCCAAAGCACAATTCGGTGCGCAACGCAGCGAGGAAGACGTTAGGGATCGAACGCGGGCGGGCTGCGGTGGGTCCCGAGGATGTATGGTCCGTTTCCGGAAAAATTCACAATATTTTCCCCTGCACAAAGGTGCACTTCTCTCGGGGTGGGGGTACTTATTCCGAAATCTGAAAATACCGCGTAAATCGACGTTTCAAGGCGCATCTTCGTACGGAGATTTTTTTTTTTCGTCCTTCGCTCGATATGTTCAGATATTCAAGAAATCTTGCTTACTTTCTGGAGGGAGGTGTTTTTTGCAGACACAAAACTGGGACCGGATTTGGACAGCTCTCGTGATTTGCCACCGATGATTTTCTTCCGATTCCAATTTGACAAAAAATGACGGAGTTATGGGCAAAAAAACGGATATTGGAGGGTATTTTGCTTAGTTTCTTGGGGACAATCCAACCGTACGATTCAAAAATTCTCCTCCCTCTTCCGACCATGAAGGCGCCAATATTTCTCCCATGCACACCAACGACCACGACGACGACTGGCGCGATGAGGATGCGGGTGGCGAGCCAGGTCGCGGGCAGGCGAAACTGCTGTTCGGTTCTGCGGTTCGCTCTGCAGCGAGCGCTGAGGTGTCTGCAGCAGCTCGCACAGCAATGGCGGTGGCGCCCGAAGTCGCGCCGCCTGCGCGAAAAAACGCGGTGCAACCTCTCCACCGGTCGACGCAGCATCGCCACAGGCGAGCGCGGTGGAGCAAGGAGGACGCCGGGATGGCGGGGAGCTTGGCAGCATGGCTAAAGCCCCCAGCTCAACAGCAGGAAGGGCAGCATGGTTCGCCTCAAACGATGGAGACTGAAGATGCGGTGGAGATGGATGTTGAGGTGGGAGATGTTGGTGCGGACAGCAGTGATCATGATGCCGAGAAGATCTGCAGCCCGCAAGAAGAACATGA